GCCTCTCCTCCGCCTCCGCCCCGCAGCTGGCCCAGGCCGCTCCACCTCCCACAGGCCCCCACGCCCGGCCTGGCCGGCGTCAGGGCAACGCGCCGCTGACCACAGCTCCCGGCGTGCAACGCGCCGACGGCGCCTCAAATCTAATGGAGGGGGCGTGCTGCATGCCGGGAAGCTATAGTCTTCCGGTTTGAGGCGGTCGGCGGCGCACCTTTTTAGTCCCGCTAGGGTCAAAGGGCAAGATGGCCTGCTGGGAAAGGTAGTCTTTCTGTAACAGTGAAGGACTAGGAAGAGAAATAGCAGTATTAAAGATAAGAGTTGAGGTTGGAAGGGATGCAGCCAGCGTGTAATCCCAAAGCTCTGGGAAGCTGAGACAGGAGGATCAAAAATTCGAGCCCAGCCGGCGATTTAGCGAGACCGTCTCTCAAAATAAAAAAGGGTTGGGGATTGTAGCTCAGTAGGAAGGTTCTGGGTTCAATCCAAAAAAATTCTGGGTACCACTAAAAAAATAAAAAGAAGCTGGAGCTGTTGTTCAGTGGTATAGCCGTGAAATCAATCCCCAGCATCCAAAATAATAATTAGCATTGTGCAGTCTATGATCCAGATACAATATTGTGCAAAGTGCTTTACATATAATATCACACTTAATTTTTATAAGCAGTGACAGATAATACTTGTTCCGATTTTGTAGGTGAATAAACCAAGACTCAGAGAAATGGAACGACTGTCTAGCGTAACTTATTACCATGTTCCTATCTTTGCAAATGCTGTTTGCTCTGCCTGGAATGATGCCTTTCTACTATTTATTCACCTAATTGGTTTTTTGAAACCTAGGAGAGGTTAGCTGCCTCGGCCCTGAACTTTAAAACTCTCAAAGCTTCAACAGCTGCCTTAACTGCCTGGAAAAGTTACTCCCACTCTGTGTGCCCCCTTTCCCAATTGAAAACTGGAAATGATGATAACAGGACCTCCTGGAAGCTTGTGTGAAATAGGGAATTAAAGTGCTTGTTAGCATAGACTTGGGCACTGAGCAGGCAGCATGGTATGCACTCAACACGGTATATTTGATTCCTGGATGTTCTAGGTCATTATTATGGGCAGTAATATGTAATTGAACCAGGGGGAGGCCCAACATTTTCCAAAGTAGAAGTATTGAGGATTTGTTATTTCTCCTACAGTAAACAGGCCCAGCTGGATGTAGGGCTCCATTTCATTGTGTTTCCGCATCTTGACTGATAAGAATCACTTCCTTGGGCAAGGAGTGTGTATAACTCTGCAGTAGAGTGCTTCCTTGGCTTGTATAGGGTCCTGGGTTTGATCCCAACATCAAGAAAAGGATCACAGCAGGCACGGTGGTACACGCCTGTAATCCCAGCACCGGGGAGGCTGAGGCAGGAAGAGCACCACAAATTTCAGGCCAGTCTGAGCTATATAGCAAGGCCCTGTCTCAACCAAACATAAAACCAAGGATCATGTCTTCATCTTTTAACAATAAGGCTGTGTCACCGCGTGTGGTAGTGCATACCTGTAATCTCAGCACTCAGGAGGCTGAGGCAGGAGGATTGCTGCAAGTTCGAGGCCTGCCAAAAAGGCTACATAGTGAGTTCCAGGCCAACATGAATGACATAGCAAGACCCTGTCTCAAAAAACCAAAGAATAAATAAATCAGTGAATGAATAAATAAGTAAGGCTGTGTCTAAAAGCTGATACTTTCTCCAAATCCACCATTCTAATTTGACACTTTCAGTCCTTTGCGTTTGTTAGACTCACATGAAAACAGAGTAAACCAGGTTTTTGTTTGTTTGTTTTGTTTGATTTTTTGCATTTTTGAGACAGGGTCTTGCTATGCAGTTCAGGCTGGCCTTGAGCTCAATTTGTAGCCCAGGCTGGCCTCAGACTCACAATGATCCTCCTGCCTCAGCCTCCTGAGTGCTGGAATTACAGGGATGTGCCACCATGCCTGGCTCAATACACCAGTTTTGAATAAGGATCTGAAGTGTGTTCAAAAAAAAAAAAAAATGAAGTGTGTACAATGAAGAAATAATGTATCTTCTTAAAAGTCTTTTATTTTTCTTCCTGGACCTTTCAAATATGTGAAGTTGCTTGTGAATAGAGTTTTTAGTAAATGAGAACTTAATGAAATTCTCCTGTATTACTTGACATGGGTTAATCTTGTCTCCCCCGACCAGGCTAAGGTCTTTTTATAGATAAAAATCAGGCTGTGGATATCGTTATTATTTCAATCTGCCACAACCTCCACCTGCACGTACAGATTGCCAGATGGTAGAATTCATCTCAGTCAACCTTCCATGTTGGAAGAAATTTCCAAATATGGGAGACATATTAGAACCATCAAGAATTCACAGCAGCACACACTGTGACACTTGTATTTGTACAGGTCACACTTGTATGTTCTGTAACTGAGACATTGCAATGTTTTCATCAAAAGAAAGAAAGTGGGCTGGGGATATAGCTCAGTGGCACAGCACCCGCCTGGCAAATGTAAGGTCCTGAGTTCGATTCCCAGGAAAGAAAGAGAAAGAAAGAAAAGAAAGAAAAGAAAGAAAGAAAGAAAGAAAGAAAGAAAGAAAGAAAGAAAGAAAGAAAGAAAGAAAAAGAAAAAGAAAAAAAAAGAAAAGAAAAGAGAAGGAAAGAAGGAAAAGAAGAAAGAAAGGAACCTATTGAGTATAGTGATGCACACTTGCAACCCCTGCTACTTTGGATGACAAGTTTGAGGCCAGCCTTGGCAAGTTAGGGCCTTGCATCAAAATTAAAAAGGGGGTGCTGAGAATGTAAGAATACAGGGCCCTGGGTTCAATCCCCATAACACACATACACACACACACACACCCCTCACTCCCTGTCTCTCTCTCTCTCTCCCCCTCTCTCTCTCCCCCTCTCCCCCCCCCCTTTCTCTCACGGATACTGCAATCAAGCTAAGTCAATGGTACAACATCCCATTCATATCTAAGCAATCTGGCCCTTCTCCTCTTACCTACATCATGCTGCTCCCAGGCACAGAGACAAAATCCTTGCGGGGTTTGAGTCATTACCCCCAGAATACATGAACAGACAGATATTGTAGACCTCACCATTGCTAGCTAGTCTCATACTACTCTGGGGTAAACAGAATAATAACAGAGCCCCTTGTGTCATAACTCTGGGAGCCCAGAAAAACATCTTAGGGATATAACAAAAAACTCAAATTCAATCATTTTATTGGTGTGGGTGTGGGTTTGGAGATACTGGGGTTTGAACCCAAGATTGGGTTTGGTACTCAAGACCAAATTTGAAGCCCTACCTGTAATCTCAGCACTTAGAAGGCTGAGGCAGGAGGATCACCATGAGTTTGAAGTCAGCCTGGACTACATAGTGAGTTCAATGCTAGTCTGAACTACATAACAAGACCCTGTCTCAAAAAACAAAAACTAAATAATAGTAGTAGTAGTAATAGTAGTAGTAGTAATATAAAAATAAAAAGGGCTGAGAATGTAGCTCAGTGCAAAGGCCCTGAGTTCAATCCCCAATACTGAAAAAAAAAATTTAAGAAAAAAATAAAATAAACTTGGTGTCACATAATTATGCTAAATTAGCAGAGAATTTTGGGTGCTTTTAGTTGTAAAAGCCAACCATAGTACAACTAACATACTCTCCTGATGAAGAAAAGACTTAATAAACTAGGAATAGGAGAAAACTGTTCAACCTGATTAAAAGATATTTGAAAATCCCAAAGAAAATTTGAAAAAAGAAAGTCCACAGAGAACATCACACTTAAGAGTGAAAACCTGGCCAGGTGCAGTGGTGCACACCTGTAATCCTCACACTCAGGAGGCTGAGACAGGAGGATTACTTTGAGTTCAGAGCCAGCCTGGGCTACATAATGAGTTCAGGACCAGCCTGAACTACATAGTGAGACTTTTCTCAAAAAATAAGACCTATTGTCTATCAATAGAGAAGTGAGTATCCACAACCTTATATAGCCAAATAATAGGATATTACTTAGCCATAAAAAGGAATGGAAAAAGAAAAAGCTTAAAATTGAAAAAAGCATGAAATATTGATTCATGCTACATTCACGGGTTAACCTTTAAATGCTATGCTAAGTGACAGAACCAGATATAAAAAGACATATGCTGTATGATTCCATTTATAAGAAATATCTAAAACAGGCAAATCTACATGGTGGCACACACCTGTAATCCTAGCACTTGGGAGGCTGAGGCAGGAGGATTGCCATGAGTTCAAGGCCAGCCTGAGCTACATAGTGAAACCCTGTCTCAAAAAAAACAGAACTAAAATACAATACAATAAAATAAATAAATCCATAGAGATAGCAAATTAGTGCTTGCCAGGTGCCCAGGAAGGGGAAATAGGGAATGAATGCTTTCTGGGTTCAGGGAGTTTTTTTGAGGGTGGGAGGATGATAAAAATGGAATAGAACTAAATAGTGGTAATGGTCACACAATATCATGAATGTACTAAAGAGTACTTAATTATATGCTGTTTTCATGCTTTTTTCTTTTGAAACAGGATCTTGCTATGTAGTTGAAGCTAGCCTTGAACTCACTACATAGCCCAGGCTGGCCTCAAATTCACAGTGATCCTCCTGCCTCAGCCTCCTAAGTGCTGGGCTTACAAGCGTGCACCACCACAACAGGGTATACGCTTTAAAATGGCGAATTTCATCTCAATTTTTTTAAAAGTGTGTGTGGAAAAGGGCGTGCTTTGATGCCCACGACAAAGATCCAAATGAGAACTGAGGAAGAAAAAGACTGATGGTCGGTAGCAGAGTCCAGGTTTATTACATGTGAGGCGTTGGGTTCAGTCTCCAGCAACAAGAAAAAGAAAATTAGGGGCTGGGGATTTAGCTCAGCGGCAAAAGCACCTGCCTGGCAAGCTCAAGGTCGTGAGTTCGGTTCCCAGTACCGGAGAAAAACCAAAAAAAAAAAAAAAAAGAAAAAGAAAAAGAAAATTAGAATTGAGGCTACGGCATCCTACCGTGTGCTCTTCCCTGCATTGGCTCCCTATCCTTGCAGCAAAAAGAACACTATCTTCTTCACTGGGCCATTCTGACGTCCAGTGAGAACATAGTAAGGGGTTGGCCCAGAATATGTAGCCAATAAA